CCATATATTACAGTAGCAAAACCAACAGACATACAATGATAAAAAAAAAAAAAGACTACAGACAGAATTGAGCACAAGGGTACTTTACTGATCACGTTTGTATTTCAGCCTAACACCTGAATAGATAATGAGCACAGTGTCAAAGGAGAAAATTTAGGATCATGTATCCCTGCTGGCATCAGGTTAGGATTGTATCATTTATGAATTTTCATAATCATAAAAAGATTTATCAGAAGCTTTATATGAAATGCTAGGCAAACGAGGAATTATAAATGTACAGAATGTATATACAGAAGAAACAAGCATTTACTAGCACTTTAATGGCCAATAAACTGGTAACTTGTCTAGTGATTAATCCTTACCACTTCTCATCAAATCTGGCATAGGGCTAAATTGTGCCTGGTAGACATAGCCCTAGTAAGGGCAGTGCAGAGCTATACCAGGGCAGGCACCAAAAAGCACTCCTTGTCCTGTAGGAGGAGCAGTGTTATAGGGTGCAGCCTTCCCTCCAGTGCAGGCTGATGGAAGGGAAGATGGGTATATGGCTCTATAATGCTGGCAGACCAGGTGCCTGCTCATGCCAAGGCTCCTAGGTCCCAAGTGAACACTGATGAATGCGTAGCTGGAAACCAGTCTGGCTGGCCTGTATTTTAGTATTATTTAAATAGGTATTACATTTATAAAAATGTGTTTAGACTTTATGAAATGCTTGTAGGATGCTGCATGTATTAATCTCATGTAATGTCTGTACCCCATGTTATAAGGTTATATTGAGTGTTTGCATTGTAAGCCTCAGTAGCTATGTAACGCATCAAGCAGGAAAGAAGCATTAAATTAATGTAAAGGCTGGCTTCCTACAGAAGATGCTAGGTCCTGCACACAAGAAGGCCCTGAGAAGTCCCGGGATGCATCCTGGGACTGTGGGACCACTGTGCCCCTTAACTCTCTCCAGCCTGAGCTGTCTTTCATAATGCTTTGCTAGTGACCAGCAGCAAACTCCTCAAGGCGCTACGATCACTCAGCACACCAGCATATGGAGCCCCACAGCCAGCTAGATTGCATGAATGCTCCCAGAGCCACTCATGAATCACACAGAGAAAGGCACCAGAGCAAAATCCCCCAGCTCCCAGCACTGTACCTCAGGAATATACTGTCTTGCACTGCTCAAGATGAGCAGTACTAATTTATTAACTGGACTTACCACTTCGTTGATGGAAAGTGAATATACACCAGCCTTTGCAAAACCTGAGCATATTTGCCACAAGCTTCATACAAACTCACTGGTAAAGATAAACTGTTAAACAAATTTATTGACTATAAAAGATAGATTTTAAGTGATATTAAGTGATAGGCAAAAAGTCAGAGTTAGTTACCAAAAGAAAAGAAAATATAACCATGCAATCTAAACTCTCAACCCTATTAGACGGGGCAACATTTAGATTAAGCAGTTTTCCTCACCCCACTGGATATTGCAAGTCCATTGTATATAGATTTCATCCTTGAAATCTGGGCTAGTCCCCTCAGTTGGAGTCTTCAGAGTGTCCTTGCTGCTTGCAGCGTAGGTGGGTGAAGGAGAAAAGCCCAGCATGTGGCCACTGTGTTCTGTTTTATAACCTCAGTCCCATGTGCTTGGGAAGCACAAGTCCATGCATGTCTGGGGGCATTGCTGAGTCTCCAGGCAAGGTTGAGCAATTCCCCTGGTGTGGCCTTATGCATGTGAATCATTGAATTGTACCTCCCTTGCTGGACAATGGTTGTTGATGGATCGTTTGAAACCCCGCCCGGGTGTTGGTTACTTTCCTTGCTGTTGCCTCTGGGGAGATAATATCTAGTTGATTCCCCAACTTACAGAATGGTTTAGTGACAAACATACAACACAATCCTCATAACTTCATATGCATTAATGATATATGGATAGAGAAATGACCTTCAGCAGATCATAACCTTTCCCCAATACTGTACAAGGCATGCTTTATATGCAAGATTATGATAATATGAAAATGAGGAATATGGGGGTTACAGTCTCAGGCCCATTGAAACCAACTGAGCCATTGTGAAACATCAAAGGACAAAGACTCTGTTGACTGCTCCCCACCACACCCATGAAGAGGAGACCTGCAGGTGGACTTGTCCCATCAGCTTGAATGCTGGGGGAAGGGAATAAAAATCCCTGACAAGAAGGAACTGATGATCTCTATGCTGCTTGAACTCTGATGGGCAAAGATCTCTAAGCATAAGCAAGTGCTCCCCAGTGCTTGGCCTGGGTTAGCCCTAGAGAAATCATAGAGCTTGCATATTACAGTAGCTTCTATTACTTTCTGGGATCTAGACTGTATCGTGTGTGTACACACCTGCTTTAACCTTGTAAATAACTCATTTCTTTTCTTAGTTAATAAATCTTTAGTTAGTTTATTATAGGATTGGCTACAAGGGTCGTCTTTGCTGTAGGAGCTAAGTTGAAGCTGACCTGGGGTAAGTGACTGCTCCTTTGGGACAGGGAGTAATCTGAATATTGTTGTGATTTTTGTTGTAAGGGACTATCTAACACAAAGGCAAGCTTGCCTGGGTGGTAAGATAAACCAGAGTACCCAAGGGGACTGTCTGTGACTCCATGGTTAGGCTATTATAGTGCCTGAGAAGCTCATGCTTGATACTTGGTTGGTGAAATCTAAGTAGAGAACTCTCAACCAATTTGGGGTTTCTGCCCTGCTTCTTCAGTCTGCCCTGAGGTACTCGTGCTCTTGAGCCACTCCAGACAGCTTGACAGGCCCCACTACCTCCTCTGTGCCCCTCCCCAACCTAAGGGTGTGGTCTCTGTGCTCCATTCTCTACAAGTGTGCCTGGCCTTTATGCAGGTCAAGCATGGACGATGGAAGTAGAAGGAGCTCCTTTTACCCTCCCCGTTGCTGCAGACCTGTATAAAGAAGCAGGCAGAATCTGGCTCAATTAATGAGATAAAAAGCTACTGAAAATTGAACGAATTTTATTGTTCCTATTACATCGTTTCACATTTTGGTTCTTTTAGATTTAGAAAATGAACTGCTAATCTTTAACGCTTCGACATCATGGGAGAAGAAAGGGGAGAATACTTTACTTGTTTACATGAGATTTGGTAAGTTATGTTGTCATATCTTCTAGAATGCTACGTAGATTTTAAGATATGCACCCTGTTTCTTTGTATAGATATTATTGGTATGTTAAAGCAGCAGCAGAAGAAAGCTTATCAATAGTGGGTTTTTTTGACACTCTAGCTATTAAACAGGAACCTTTAATAAAAAATATAATTTTTTAAATATAATATTATTATATTA